ATTCACTGAACACTGAGTCCATGCAGCTCAGCAATTGCCTTTCAACAGCCCTGAAAGATTTACCATAGTTTCAGATTAATCTGGAACTTTATTATGTAGTTATTTTAATCTCACTTTATTTCATCACTGCTTGGAGTCCTATTATCAAAGCAAGATCCTGTTAAGATACAGCAATGACAAATGGTGTTAGAACCAGCTAAAACAGAAACAGAATCTAAAACTGTTTTGCTCTATGCAGTAAAAAGAAATCAAGAGAGTCTTTATGGTGCATCACAGAGGGATAAAGGGGTTCCTGCACAACGAGCAGCTCTGGGGACAGAGCGAGCAGAGCTCTCCTGCAGTTTCCTGCATGACTGCACTCAGTCCTTTGTCTTGCCATAAGGYTTTTGAAGGTGGAATTGCTGTGCAGGTTGAAGGGAGCTCTGAGAGCAAGCCTGGTGCTTGGGGCTGCAGTCTTTGCCCTGTTTGGGAGTTTCTCAGAAATTCTTTTGTGGGTGCTYTGCAGCCCGGTTCCTTGGTGAGGGATTCAGGGGAGTGTTAAAGACAGCCGAGTGCTCTGAAGCASAAATTTACATTTCATCTGCTGAGATGTTTGAAGCAAATGCTATCCTGAATCAGAATATTTTTCTGAGCTGGGACTGAAAATTTTTAGGACATGGTTAAGACCATAAGGATGAAAGGCCATATGTGGCTACTTTGGGAAGAAGCAGGGGAAGGCTGGGCAGAGTCCACTGCCAGGGGCTGGGACACTGTCACAAATGTCCCCCGGACCGAGGGGAGCTGGTCACAGCCTGGCAGGGCAGGGTTGGGAGGAACTGGCACTGGTCACTCCAAGTGTGGCCATCTCCTGTCCCCACTTCATTGTCYCTTACTGGACACAGTGAGCCAGCCCCGGCCAGGGAACAGAGGCTCAGGTCACCCCCATTCCCCTCCCAGCAGTCCCCTCACTCCCCTCACAGCCGGCTGCTCTGGGATTTCTGTTTTTCCCTTTTTCCACCATCCCCAGCCGTACAAAGCCACCATCCCCTGGGCACTGCGGGGTCAGTCCCSTCAGCGGGGCCACCGCCGGTCCCCAACCCGCACAGCGGGGTTTGCCCTCCTGAGTGCCTGCACATCCCCGATGGCGATGCTCCAGCCTGGGGGGCACCTGCACTCCCAGGAGAGCTGCGGGAAGAGCTCGGTTTCCATCAGGAGCGAGGGAACAGAGCCCGGCACCGGGAGAGCCCCGCGGGCAGCGCCGCCCGGTCTGCACCGTCCTCTAGTGGCCACCGGCCCCGCTTCGGTAGCCCGGGGCACGGGGAGCGGGCAGAGCCCYTTCTCCCGCAGTCCCCTCTCCTTGTCTGCCATCCAGGTGAGCCTGGGACTGTCATCCTGCACAAGGACCCACCAGCGAGGCTGTTTCCCGCAGCTCTTGGCCATCAAACCTCTGCTCCTGCTATCGCATCTCCACCCGAGATGACTGAAATGTAAATCCTCACTCTCCCGGCCTGCAGGAAAGGGGATGTGATGGTTCAGTTGCTCATATCTCGGAGCACAGCACACTTTTCCCAAGAGCAGCCCAAGAATGCTCCGTGCCACCCACCTAAATATTTGATAAAAATTAAACACGAGCACCTTTGATTGATGCTTCTCCTCACACACCGCTCCAGCCGCTCTCTGGATAATGTGYGGTGTTATTGAGGCATCAATTATCTTTAGCACAGGCACAGCTCCATTAGCAGGCCTGCAGCCTGCTCGTTTTGATAAGGCTCACTCTGTGCATTTATCAACAAAATGGGGATAACCAGCAGGACATGGAGGCTGCAGCTTTTAACTCTGTTAGGACAGAGATGACGTTCACATCTCTGCGTGCATCACTAACCAGAGCATCCTGTCTGCTGGGGTTTATTGCTCTGGAAGAGGAAGGTGGTTTCACTCTGGTTTTATCTCTTTTGGCTCTATCCACATGCTCCAGAACTCTCTTTTTAGAGGTGCAAGTAGGGCCCAGGGATAGGGCAGAGAAACTGCAGAAAAGCAATTCTTTTTATTAAAGGTCTCAAACTTCCTTCATAAACTACACAAAGATAGACTCTTGGCTTATTAATAGCAGTAAATCTCCAAGTCCAATAGGCTTCAGTTAATGAATATTGATTATGATAGTGCTGGAAAAGGCTTGTGTCAGTTGAACAGAGATCCTGTAGCCCTTTTTGCCTGAGCACTGCTATAAATTAACCAAGAGCTTCTTTTTCAGAATTAGGTGGTGGAAAACACAGGGGTTACAGCAGCACTGTAGCTCTCACTRTCTCAGGGATGTGAAACCACCTTAATGCTAATAGCAGCAGTCATTTACAGATGTAAATTAGCACTTCCCTCTGTTCCCCAATGAATATCTTAAAAGTAAGAATCTAAGCTGATTAACACAAACACCGTGGTCACCTCAACCTCTGACTCCCCAGATAAATCACATCATGCTCTCGATGAGCAGCTCTATTTTGCAGCCAGGCTGGGATGGCTTTGAATGGGAGCTCAGGAAAATAAACCAAGGGCAGTCCATTGAAACAGAGACCTTATCGTTATCCTCTGGTGGGGAACAGAGGCAGTGATGGGTGGGGAGGCTGTGGGGTTATATCAATGTTTTCATAAAACTATCTTTTATGCTCACTGAAACAACCCAACAACAACAAAAAAAAATAGAGCAGCCCCCTCCCCTCTCCCCACATCTGATAAAAATCAAATAATAACAGGAGTGACTTATGCACTCTCTGCCTGGTACTTCAATCTGGCCTTCCAGTTAATACACCCCATGATTAAAGCATCTATAATCTACAGTCTGTGGAGACCTGTACAGCAGGAGCAGCAGCAGGTGTGCAGCCTGATAAGGGCTGTTCACTCCGTGCAGATGAAACTTTTAATATTTATAACCGCTGATTTTTTTTCCTGATGCCTCCTATTGAGGGGAAAGGGGTGAAAGTTTAAAGATAAAAGCTTGATGAAAGACCAGGTGGAATGTTTTTCCAAGGACAGGCAGGGGCTTAAAGATATCTCCACCTAGGTGCTGATTTAAAAATGTTGCTCAGGTAAGTGTCAGAGCTGGGGCATGAAGTCTCTGGAAGACCTTCAAGGCTTGTCTGAAGTGCACCCAGGCTTTCAGCTGGAAGCTCCTCTGAGCTGTCTGTGGTTTGATTGTCTGCACCAAGCACGGTGGGACTGTGCTGGGACTGCCACGCATCACCTTAGTTATCACAAGATAACTAAGTCATTCCAGGTCAGCTCCAAGTGCTAACAGCATTTCCAGCTCAGCACTGAAATGTGCTGAGGAATGTGAAAACAGCCTGAGCCTCGGTCTTGGTGTCAGCAGGAGGGTGGCACAGGGGCACTGGGAGTGCTCTGAAAACATTCATTGCATCCTGCTCCAATCCAGTCACTGCTCACTGCACTGGGATCCAGGGCTGCTGAAACACGGGAGGTGCTGGTGCCTTTGCAGTCTTCCTCCTGGAAAACACCCCTTCCCATGGCATCATTTTTCCTGGTGCATGGATAATGCTGTGGGCTGTGGTCATCTGCTCTCAGGTACAAGGTTCTCCCCACAGGAGGCAGAGGGATCCCTGTTTGGTACCAGGAGACCCCACAAGGACACACAGGCACACACATCACACAGCCCTGGGGATGCTTTGCTGACACTCTGCTAACCCTCTGTCCACACAGAACTCAACCAAAATCTCCCATTTGCAGCACCACGAGACCTGGACTTGCCCCATGCCCAAATGGTTCAGTATTTGTGCTTTCAAAAAGAACCCAACACTCCTGAGTGTGAGCATTCTGACAGATGTGACTGGCACTGTTCACCAGCAATTACAGACAGACAGAACCTGGGCCAACCTGAGTAAAATAAAAATAYGCAGAGAAAGCCATTCAATATAGAGAATCCTAAATATATTCACTTATTTCATCTGAAAGATGATACACTGACAAACTTCGTCCAAAGTGAGCCATGTTGGTTCTCATTGTCAGAGCAGAGCACTTCAAGATGYTTACCAAAAACACACAAACACACCATGACAGAGGGAAATACACTTAGAGCTGAAATACAAGGCTTGGGTGAACCTGAACGGCTCGGGAGCTGAAAGTTTCGTCTCAACCATTCTGCCTTCCCACCTCAGACAGAAGAAGTCAAGGGAAAAAGAAAAGCAGGCTGGCCAGGGAGGAGGCAGCACTGCCTTTTCACCAGAGAACAAAGAGAGAGACTTCCAAAGAAAAAGACAAAAAATATCAATCCTTAGAAACACCCCTCCTGAATTCAAAAGCATCAGAAAGGAAAAAAAAAAAATAAATGTAGAGCTCTTCACTGTGAGGACACGTCCACTGTTTGGAAAGCATGAAGAAAACTGGATGAAGAAAATGTAACACTTCAGTGTCTCCAAGACAGCTGCAGTTTTCCTTGACTTAACCAGACTTGGCTGCCAGAAATTGGATTTCTTGGCCTCTGCTTTCTAGACTGYAATTTACTCTTCCACAAAATTATGCAAGCAGAGCTTAAATCTAAAGAGGTAACATTAAGTTGTTGAAAACAAGTTTCAAAAAAATTCCTTTGTCTGTGTTGTTAATAAGGAGTTTATCTCAAACAAAACCTTGGGGGGAACCCTATCAAATGGAATTTCTGCATGACTTCTGGAAGTATATGAAAAATCCAAATTAACAAAAGCATTCAGTAGCAGTGGAGTTAAACAGTCATTAGGCCCTGGATACACTCTGGCCAGAGCTCCTAAAACACATGCAGGCTGCAAGCAAACCCACACCAAGCTGCTTATCATTCTGAAGCAAAACTCAAGGATTAGCCTCCCACTGCACATCAGCTGGCCTCCCTGGCTGCAGCAGGCACCAGGATTATGTTCATTCCCAAAACTCATGAGCATTTGGAAGACAGCAACTGCAGAGCATGAGCTGGATGTACACGAAGGAACAGCAGCAACATTTCAYAGATGGATTTACTGAGCATCTTCTSAGTTGTTTGATAAASCAGTTTCAGTGYCTTGAATGTGGCAGTCCTGAGTACAAGTAAAATGAACATCCCTCTGAAGATGAGCTTAGAAATGCATATGAAAATATAACAGATCAGGTGTTTATACTTATTTATTAAAAATTATTGTTACAAACAGGCTGTCAGCTCTCATATAAAAGTAACATCTGAAAAACAGGAGCAGTCAGACACTGCAATCTGCTCAGTCCCACAGAACAGCAGTGAGATGTGTGAGGATGCAGCCCCTGGTCACAGCCASCACCAGCAGTTCTGGGGAAAGGGCTGAGATCCCAGCCATGAACAAATGCAGAAAACCTCGCTCTGAGGAAAAATCCCTCCCAAATACCAGGTGGCAGAATGCAAATGTGAGAAACACAACGAAGTCCATCCAGGGGTAGAGGCAAGGGTCACTGCAGAAGGCTGCAGCTCAGCCAAGCAGCCCAGCTCTCCTCACAGGGAAGGGCTGTCAAGCACATGGGAGCTTTGTGCGTGTCCCTAAGATCCAACCGCTGCACAGACATGTTTTGGTAAGAGATGGCATCARTCTAAACTGAAGTGCTCTGCAAAAATATCTTTTTTCTTCCCAAACAAACCTCGTACTAGCTCAAASTCCAGGGGCACATCAGCAGCCTTTTTCTTTACTTCTTTATCAAAAAGCTACAAAATAAAAACAGACAATATTATCAAAACTCAGCACAAGCTCTTCATCCTGATACAACTGCTCACTCTAATGTCTTAAAAGATTCAGCAAATAAACCCTTCCAAAAATAAAGCCAGCCCTGTCACAACCGTTGCTCAGGCTCTGTTATTTAACAGACATTTTCCTCATTTTGCCTAATTCTGGGTAACTAAGTCAGTGTAAYTCCCTCCTCAGCAGCAAGGCAGATCAACCAGACATGGCTGCTGCATCCAGAATCTCCTTTCCTCTGTTTCCAGACATTCACAAAGGCACAGCAGCATTATTACCTCATAAGCTGAGAGCTCCAGGAGCCCTGATATGTCATCCTCCATTTCTGACAGGGACTGGTTCAGCACAGCAGCTGCCTTGGCCACATCTGGGTGATAATGGCTCTGGAGAGACTGAAAAAGCAAGACAAATAGGAGATGGTCTAAGAARTGCAGGGTAACACACATCCACCTGCATTCCCACATTATATAATTAACTAGCAGTCACAACTTCCCCAGTGTATGGAATCCTTTGATAGGAGAGAAAAGGATGCAGAGCAAAAGAACTCAAACAGGTTCTCATGAGTGGGGCTGCCCACAGCCACACGTGTCAAGGAAGCAGCAAGGATGGAAGAGACCCACACCAGGCACAGGTGCTCATTTTGGGRTGACATACCTGAATCTCCCAGAGAGAGCTCTCCAAAGCCCTGCTTGCAGATGGCTCCTCCTCCTCCATAATATAGGGATCTTCTGACATATCTAAGGAAACAGGAGACATGCAGGTAATACCTCCTGTGTGATGAAYGTAAACCCAAAGGGAACACAGAGGTCTCTCCCAAGACATTTATGATCCAGGAACAAGTTGACAGATCCCAGCACAACCCAAGAGTCACTGCTGCCAGGCAGCACTACAGAACCACGTTACTTTTAAAGAGCATTGGAAGTAGGGCATTTGGAACAGCCTTGAACTCACAGCAGCAGCCTGTCCCCTTCCACAAAGGGACAGAGGGATCCTTCCAAACCTCAGCACTGGGATCTCTCTGCTTCCCCGACAGGAATCCTGCTCTTCGTGCTGCCTAAAGGCATAGCACAGCTCCCCTCTCACCTGCTGGCCCTCCTGGTCTGTGCACCAGCACCCTGCAGGCGGGGTGCCTCCGGAACAGGTTGCAGATGAAGGGAATGATCATGAGCAGAGCCTCGGGAGGGGCGGTGAGGGCCAGCCGGGAGAGCCGCTTGATGAACGCTGCCACCAGGTACGCTGGCAAGTGCCTGGGGACAGGGGACAGGACAGAAAAGCCTGTCAAAGTCCTGCCAGGTGAGCCAAGCACAGCTTGGGGACACGGCCATTCACGTGAAAAACTTCATTCAGCCCTTTTATAAACTCCGGAACGCTTGGCCAGGCAACCTCAGCTAAATTCTTCTGCCATCATTTTGTGGGTTTCATTAATATGACAATTTTCAGGCATACTGCAAGGCTCAAAAGTCTTGTCCCTCTCTCCAAAGTACACCAGGAATACAGGGGGGTTGGATTAAGTGCTGAGTTCTGTGTTACTGTTGGTTTATTTTATAACATATGACAGCAGCTACATGACCAGCTGCCTATCCCATTTCTTCCCTGTGTACAATTAACTGACAACATCAAGACAGGCTGTCAAACACTTCACGTTTCAGTGCTTTATGTCTGCAAAAAGCCATCCATTTATCAACAGCTTTGTAATCTATAAAAAGCCTGCAAATTTTACTTCTCCATATTTACAAAGGCAAGACAGAAAATTCATCACTTTCAGCCAAAATGGAACAGAGATCAAAACACATCCATAAGCACTTGCAGCTCAAACTCTGATAACTAACTGCAATTTTTCCTTTCTGAAAATCTATGGCTGTGAGGCAAATCTTCAAAAATAGCACATGAAAAATTACACAAGACTACAACAACACTCTTGGATTCAGTTTCCTCCGTAAAAATGTATCTAATCCAGCAGGCACACTGAATACATTATATCCAGACGTGTGGGAGACTGCTCAAGAACAGAAAAGCAGGAGGGAAATATGTGAGCATACATAATAAAGATGTTACTTACGATGAAGACAAAAACAGATCAGTCAGGTGGAAAAAACGGGCTCGGTACTTCACGTGATAGATGGAAGGGTCTAAGAGACTGTACAGCTTTTTGTAAAAGTCAGGATACTCCCTGTTAAAAAAAAAAGGAAAAATACAATATGCATTAGTGGTGTATAGAGGGACTGTGCCTAAATGTTTTTGTGCTTTCATTAAAGACCACCCCAGCCCACTGCTGGGCTCTGTTTAGCTCTCTTAGGCTTCCCTCTACAGACACCACTTGAAAACAAACTGCAAGGTGAACTCATGGCTCTTGCAGTGCCCAGCYATTTCCAGGGTGTGAAGCCATGTCCACTGACTGCAAATGGTACAGGATGGAGTGAAAAGGACACCAAAGACTACGGCTTCACTATGTAATCAGATCAATGGAAATCGATTTTCAAGCGCTGAGCAACCGCAGGCGAGAGAAGAGGATGTGTAGGCTCAGAGGTAAAAGAAATCAGACAGCCAAAAAAGCTCAGCATCCTAACAGCTGAACCTCTTGTGCAGAGTTTGAGYTTCTCATGGGGGAATTTTGAAGCCTGAAGGTGTGGTGAACCCATTTCAAACAAAATGCTCTTTTTACTCACAGATTATGCTGATGAATCAGAATAAATAACCCATTTAGGGCTAGAAGACTGATGGCTCCACCTGTAAGAAAGCAGSCAAGTATCAACACAATAAAAATAACTAGGAAAAAATAATGTTCAAGTTTTTTCTTGATAATAAAATCTTCCCAGAAAAAACACAAAACTCAGCAGCTGAAATCAGAGCCAGTGTGATGGATGAAGGGTAAAAAAATTTCATCTACACCCTTCCAGAGGCTCCSAAGTTTCTTACAAAGATTAAGTTGTAGCTCAGTAGAACAGCTCAGTAGAACAAACGCTGAATGACTGAGACACAAAAATATGATGCTCTAATTCCCCAAGAAAGCCACACTGGGGAGGCAAAGATCTCCTCAGAAAGGACCTTTCTGCAGGAACCTGTGGATCCTGTGTTTGGATGCAGCCCAGCACAGCTAAACTCTATATTTAAAAGAAATCACTCCAGCATTCTACGCTTCCAAAAGCCTTAAATATTATTTTCCTTACACAMAAGGAGCAATGACACTGACAAATACAGGTAAAACCATCTCACTTTCAGGGTCAGTGGAGTTCACCCTAGTTCCTTAGCTCCATCCCAGCCAGAAGAACACCCATTTAACCATCCAGGCTGTGGTGCTGCAGGCAGCAGAGCTCCCCAAGTCCATCTATCCCACACTGGAGGAACCACAAAGGATAAAAGCCTGCTCTCACTCACCTATGCCATAGGCCACTGTCAAGAAGTCCATCATGAGAGTGGGCTCATTCATGTAAGGCAGGACAGAGTCGTGCAGAATGACAAGAACCTTTTTGTAAAGGCCAGTGGGCAGCTGTGAAGGACAAAATAACAGTGAAACAAGCACTGCAAGGAGAACTTGGAGAGAAGCAGCAAYCTGGGGCTCAAAAACACAATGCACAGAAGGGAATGTGACAGAACAACACAGAACAGCTCGCAGCAGCAGCTCCCAAATGAGAGAGTTTAGGAGACATTGATGACTGAGTTCATTCAGGAAGCAGATCCTCATAACTAACAGTGTCATCACTCAGAAGGRRAAAGTCCCCAGGAAAAAGGCTGRGGAAGCCTCAGCTTGTGATYTGTAATGCTGCAGATCACCSTTATGGGCAGATATGTTTAAGGTGRGGAAAAAAGGCTGGGAGTACCAAGACAAAACAGGCCATGTATGAAGTCACATTTCTTGGCAGAGTGACCCAACAGAAATGGTCACTGGGCTGCACACACTCAGAACATTCTGGGGTCCTACCAGCAGCTCCATGCAAAGCCTGACACAATTACAAAGGATCAGCAATCCTTAAATCAGAGTGATTCAGATCAGTGGCAGAAGTAACACTCACCTTGTGCTTCAAAAAAGTGAGCCACATTTTTTCAAACACCTGCCTGTGTGCCTTGAAACAGAACCACAAACAGCGAGTTAAACACACTAGTATAAAGTTCYAAAGCAGACAAAATTTCAAATTTAGTGCACCAAATGAACAGTTACCTGCAGCTTTGAAAGTTTCAGCTCTTCACGGTTGTCTAAGAAGAAAGGGAAACCAGATGTAGAACTTTAAATGGATATTTAAAAAATTAAGATGACCTTTTTTTACACTGGGGTACTTGTCTTGGCACATGATAGGCCCCTCTGCAAAACTGATTTGGATTTTTAACACTGTTTAGAATCAAGTGATCAAAGAAGCAGACATTCTTCACCAGCAAACAATAAAGTCTTTACACCTAAAAATCTTAAGCCTGACTCTCCTTTTCACACACAGTTGATCATGCAGAGTTTACTAACCTTGCTTGACCATAAATTTGACCATCTCAGACTCTTTGTTTGGCATGTTAATGGGCGAGATGAGGGAAAATACATTCTGCTGGTAAAAAGGCAATGGCCTCTGAGGAAAAAAAAAAAACATATAAACATTAAGCAAGTTCCACAAGAGATAACAAAATGCTGGGCTTTAATATTGCCCCACTCCYAAGCACTGAACAAATTTAGGAGAAGAGAAAAGAAAAATGTTGATGCCTGAACTACATGCTGGTATACCCTCTATTGCTGCACTGAAGTATTACTTGTTTATGCAACAAAAAACCTTTTTCTGTACTTATTCTGGTTTCATAAAACTGGTGGAGCCAATGAAGGAAACAGATTCTTCCTCTGCACCACAGAAAACAGAATTAAAGGTTCTCTGTGTGTCACCCAAGGTGTAGAGATTTGGGTAAAACAGAAGCTAGAGCCTAGATTAGAAAGAAGAGTATGTGTCTTGAACTACTTTCAATTTCAGAGTAAAGCCAGTCTTGGCATCCTGACACACRTAAGAAAAAAAATCAATGCCTTCAGCGGGCACGCTCATTTCCCTGGCTTCCAAATATTTCCATCTACCACTAATCCCTCCCTGCTTCATGCACAAGATAACCCAGAGCACCTCATCCAGAGCCACCTGAGCAGCAGCAATTTGTTACCTCCTTTGTCTTTTGCATGACTTGCCCGATGCTGGCAGTGACAGCCTTCATGACGAAGTACCGTACGTCATCGAACTCCATGTACTCTTGAAAGCGGGAGATGAGGAGCGAGACATCCTCGTGGGTGGGGAGCAAACCATCAACAACCACCTAACACAGGGTTTGTAAGGGAAAGCAACAGGTCAGTCTCTTACAGCACTATGAGATGGCAGAGTGGAACAGATGGAACAGAGAGTGAGGACACATGAGGTCATGTGCCATCAGGTCACTGACAGGAGAAAGTTTTCAGTTCTGCACTTACCTTAAGAAGGTGACAAGGAAAAGTTAAAGTCCCCTTCCACTCTATTTTGATCAA